GGATTGGATGGGAAAGCAGTCAAAGAAAGGAACTGTTTCCTACAGGGTGGAGAGTGACAGCAACAGGCCGAAGGAAAACAAACATGAAGAGACATCCGGAAGGAGGTCATCCTGGGATGTCTGCATTATTTATTTATGTCATAATGTACCAAGAGGTTTTACCTGGCTAAAAACTGGAAAATACTGTCTGCTGATGTTACCATCAAAGAAACAGCTTAAAGCTACCAGCTGCTATCATGTTTACTGATCTGGATTAATCTAAATTTCAGCTCAGATCCAAACTGCCCTTCCAGGATAAAAGTCACTGTTTTTCTTTCCTGTTTCCTTGAAAAACAGAGCTCTCTTTTTATTTCATTTGCTGTCAACTGAAGTACATGACCTTGTGGGTAGCAATTAGGTCAATGATTCTGCTTAGTAGCTTCCATGTTATGCAATATAAACAAGGTCAATACCAAATAACCTGGTTTGAAGTTAAATAATGTACATTTAATTATTGCATTGAGCTGTAATGTTGTTTTATTATTCTGTGTGTTGTCTGTTACAACAGGCCTCAGGTGGTTTCTGCAGAAGTCAGAGAAAATGATAGCATCTCAGTAAAATGTATTTCAGGGAATGACTGAATGCCTCAACCCAAGCTTTGTTGTGCAGAGATAAGCTAACACTTCCTGATTCTTACAGGTTTTTAGGAATGTTATTTAAATACTTTATCACTTATCTGATAACTTTTAATCTCTTACGGTAATTAATGGTATTTTTCTGAAAAATATCGGCTTATATTTACTAGCAGACAAAATGGCAACAAAAGGTCCATGCATTCGTTCTTCCTGTAGAATCTTGATCTTTGAAATCTTCTAAAAAAGGGGAAATGCATAAAAAGAAAAAGCCTGAAAAACCATAACTTATTCTACATAAAATACAACAAATTCTATTTTATTCTAGATTTAATTCTTGACAGTTAATATTATTCCCAAAGGGGGGGTGAACATTTAACATGAGTGAAAATTACTTTATAAGGACTATAAGTTGAGTATGTGTATCAACAATACAACAATATGATAAATAAAAATATTTCACTATATAAATTATTTCTACATATAATGACTTGCAGCACTCAATGAGCCAAAACGGATTTGGGGTCTCATGGGCGCGACAGAAGCAGCGAGTTTTAATGCAAAGTCAATGGTTAACGCGCGTCAAGGCGCAGCAAAATGTCCCGCAGCGCGTTTTAAGCAGCAGGCGTAGTGCGTCTGAGCAGCTGAAGCAGCGCGTCGGGCTCCTTTGGGCATCTGACGCGAGTGACACGCCGAAAACGCGCTGCTGCTCGAGATGGAAAAATTGAACTTTTGCTGCTCGACGCGCCGCGTCAACCAATCAGAGAAGCTGATCTGGGAGCTGGCAGAGAGACAGACACATCGCTGATCATCAGAGCGCTGTGATCACTCCTCTGAAACAGTTTATTAACGCATAAATTAACTTAAAATGCAAAAATCTGCCGGCAGAATATGTTGGCTTTTATTATCCTGCTGCCTGCAGTTTAGATTATTTAGATGAAAAACACCTACCAGCTGCCGCGGTGAACCATGAGGCGGCGACCGGGCCAGAGGCTGCTGTGGAATGGGATCCTACTGACAACGCACCGCTGGTATGTGGGGGTCTGAGCGGCTCCGACAGAAATAGTATTGGAAGGCAGGATTGTAATCTGGATGACCTGACTGCACTGATTAAGTTTTCGGGTGGATTTTCCCACTCAAAAACATATTAAAACTACTTTATTCCCACTGATCACAGCAAATACAGATGCAAGGCAAAGAAAGGATAGAGTAGCTCCGCCCAACGCGCTTCAGACCCACTTTTGCACCGCGCAGCCAGAGCAGCAAAGCTGCTTCAGCCACGCGTCAGAACTAACTGGTACAAGCAGCAAAAATTAAGCAGCAAAAATTGCTGCTCTTGCTGCTTCCAGTGTGAACGTAGCATTAGAGCTTCCTACCAACACTGACAAACAAAATTGTTATTTAATTCTGCACTGTTTGCAAACCTGAGGAATGTTAAATGGTCAAAAATGTATGAAATCAATGCAAACATCTGCTAGAGAAATTACAGAACTATAAACAATGTATTGCTTTCTTTGAGCGGTGGTAAATTATTCTTGCTTTACATATTCATGGAGTACTCACTATTATAAAGCAGTTAAACCTACAAAAACTATATTTACGCTGCTGTAAACCACGTGAAGTAAATTAATCATTAAAATCTTTCTATGAAGCATAATACAGCAGCTGATATATATTCGCTGTGTAAACAAACTTGAACCCTATATGCAGGAAGTTTAATTACTTATCCACATCTCCTGTTCAGGAGCAAACAGCTGGAAGCACAGCCTCTGCAAAACAAGAGCTCCTGCCTGTGGAACGGGCTACATCCCAAACATCAGCACATTTGTCTTTGAAGTTGTTAAATCAAAATTAAGGCTATTTTATTCACTGGAACTATCTTTTAGGTCCTCCTTTAAGAAGTGTGCGTTTTCCATACATACATCAAAGATAATTTTGATTGAAGGATCAGATTTTACTTCATTACATCTTGGAAGAATGACAATTCAGGGACTTGTGTATTTTAAGGACTTGAATTCGAGTTATTGCAGGATTCTGTTATTATTCTTATTATTGTGTAATTGATTATTTCATATCTTTTTAACATACCAAATTTTTCAAACGTGTTGTTTTCAGCTAGAAAACAGAGTTAAAACATGCGAGATAAGAGTCAGTGGATGTAATTAGTATTTATCACCCATTCATCCACTTTGCGGCACGCTTATTCCAAGTGGGGTCGCAAGGCGTGCTGGTGCCTATCTGCAGCTTTCTACGGGTCTACAGTGCACTGACGACATAGGCGGAGTTTCAGTTTTGCATCGGGGGGCAAATATATATATATATATATATATATATATATATATATATATATATATATATATATATATATATACATACTATGATATATTATTATGATATATACTACGATGCGCGTTCGCACACACACACACACATAAAGTGCATTACGCATGATGGCACAAGTGATTAGGTAACTTTCAACACCAGTTGTTACATTACTGCATACAGTACAACGTAGTTCCTAGGAGTATTAATTTAAAGAAAGTCGTACCTAGTGCAGAAGTAAGCGAGTAAACTGAGTATTCAAGCCAACTTATTGTATTACATTGGAAAAGGCTCCTTTAGACTTTCCAAACAATCTTGAAGGAAAATCCGGAAGAATAGGCTGCTTAGGACTGCAGTGCTAGTCGCCAAGATCATTTGGTAGTTGCTGCGCTCTAGTACAGTTACTATTCCACCGAACTGACCCCGACAATGGCTCAGCAAAAGTCGATGGGGAGCTAGCTGGGTTTGCAGAGCTGGTCCCAGGTGTTTAAACGACATAACTCCTGAAGAAGTTTCTTCACTGGTAAAATGACCGAAGCCAGCAAACCCAGGTCAGGTCAGTATTTGTTGGTACTGGCTCTGGTTCTACTTCTTGCCAAGTGTTGGCAGAGGTCATGTGACATTTTAAAAAACATCAAATATCCATTTGCAGCTTGCACTCACTTACAGCCTACATATTATATATATATATATATATATATATATATATATATATATATATATATATATATATATATATATATATATATATATATATATATATATATATATATATATATATATACATAGAAGAAGCAGCAAAAATGCATAAAAAATGCATAAAATATCAGCAATCTTAATATAAAAATAGCTAAAATATTATAACTTTTAACCAGTCTGCTGGTTGAATAACCGAAATAGTTTAATTAATTATAATAAATATATGTGTGGTTCTGCTAATTTAATCATCTATTTAATTTTTGAGAATAAAAGAGATGTTTGAACTGAAAAGATGGTTTCTTTTTCAGACTGGTTTGTGATTAAAATTCAGTTATTTACAATGAATTAACTGCAGACCCTGTAATTAACTTGATTAAAAATTCTTATTGCGTCCAACCATTTATTTCTACCTAAAACAATTATAGGTTATTTGTAAGGGCTTTGAAGAGGGCAACTTGAAATTGACTAATAATGACATAATATACGGTAATAATAATACGAACGTGACCAAAGGAAAAAAAAAAAATAATAAAAATGAACAGATCAATAAATAAAACATAAAAACATATTTGTCAGGATGAGAGATAATTCCAGCTTATAATAATGGGCTACAATAGCAGCTAACAAAGGCTTTTCAATACGAACAACTGCATACTCTAGATGCAGTTACAAATGGCAGCTATTACTACTTTTACATGCATGGCAGATGTGAAGGATATATTAGCTGTTCATTTTTAGGCTGCTGATTGGGGTATTCTCCTTGAAGCTCATTCAAGTTGATTTTCCAATTAGAAGTCAGAAGTTCCATCTTCCAAATGAAAACATTAAATTCCCTATAAATATAGGCTACAGTACATCCTAATAAGTATTTCTCTAACACTGTATATGATATTCAACATTGTTAGATTATGACAGCAGGGGACTTAATTCATTTTAAAATGAGTCTGAGTCAGGCAGAGGGCACAGGTCTAATGTCATCATTTATTAAAGATGCTGATTTTAAATCTTTTACGCGTAAAATAGAAGGACAATAAACCATAAATTCAAATCAATATATTTTCCAACTGACAACTGGAGGAAGACTCTCATCTCTCTGTTCCATAAGGTTTTTAGGGCTAAAGGGATAAAAATAATCAAATGCAGATTTGTCATCACTCTGAATCTTAAAAGTGATATAATTCACTAAATACATCAGATTGCAGCCATTTTAAAGGATAATGGATTATTTTCAAGGTACTCCGACTTCCTCCCTGGCTCCCTCAATTGGCTTTAAGGTAGAATATTTGTTTGCATGGTTGTTTGTCCTGTCTGTGTCAGTGTTGCACAGAAAAGGCTTGTGACCTGTCTGGTTTTATCCCCACGTCTCAGCCAATGACAGCTGAATAAAGGAGCCCCGCCTTCAACAAAAGGAAGGATTGAAGAAGAACACCCAAACTTGATTATGTTCTTTTGTTTTAGTAAGTATGCGTTTGACTAAGTTTTCTAAATTCCTTCCATCCAAACCTGATCTGGATTGAGCCTGTTTTGGCCTTTGTACATATGTTTACCTCATGTCTAATTGTTTACTGCAGTGCTGCAGTTCACTCTTGCCAAGCAAACTCATCACCTTCACCTGTGCTTGCCTGCTTAAGCCCTCCATGTCCATCCACTCCCAAGCAGATTGACAAGTCTTCCCCATCTTCCCAATTTTCAGCTTTTCTGCCTCTTCCCTCCTCAACCTAGCTTTTTGTCTTGGCTCTGTTTTAACCTAATGCCTGTTGCCCTCACCGCTTCTTAAAGCCATGGTCTCCATCAAATAATACATTTTGTGTTTCAGTTAACCATCTGTACTTAGAGATGTTATCAAATTCTGAACTGTATTACAAACATCTACAACCTGTAGTATCTGCTCTTTTTCAAACTTACATTCTTATGTACTTACCTTCGTACTGCCTCAATCTACATACCACATGATGTCCTTCAGTCCTGTGCCTGAAGGTTTTTCTGACCAGTTTGATTTTCTTTAAAGACCCTCCAGGTGTTCCCATAATGAGCACCACATCTGTTTTGCAATTAAAAGGACAACAGGATCAATATAAGTGGTAAGCGTGTTTCTCACAGTTGTGCCATTCACTACCCAGCAAATACCCTCCAATTCATATGGCTTATACTTTATACCTTGAAGGTTATGATGGCTTCTCACTAGTAAACACCCTTCTACACATTGATGTTAATAAATCAACACCTGAACCTTTGTTAATTTTTAACAGACCTGTACATGAGCTTATAACCAGAGCAATATTTTTATCATGAGTTTGGCACTGATTGCTGGCTGATTACTAATTTCATTCACCTGTCTAGCTCTGCCCTGTTCCTCATTCCTCATCCCAATCAGATCCACCTGTTCCTGGTTTCCCATGTAAGCTGCCTGTTTCCCAGCCATCAGTGCCAGATTGTTCTTGAGCCTTTGGTGTTAAAAGTTCTGTAGCATTTTTATAGTGTTCTGATTGTCTCACCCTGATCTGTTTCTGTATTCGGACCTTTGAACCTGTCTGCCCCTGTCTGATTAGTTTGTCTGCCTGTCTTCGGAATCCTGTCGGATACTTCTGTGGACTGAACCTGGATCCGCCTCTTGACTTAACCCTGTGACTTATCCTGTCTTCCTTCGTCAGCTCGGATCTGGTCTCCTGTCAGCTCTGCAAAACTCTCTGGCAGTGTCTGCTCTGTCAACCGGCTGGAATCATCCTTGTTTTCTGGGCACTGACTGAACTGTCAAACTAGGTTAGTGACACACGCATTCATAATCATCCTCCGTCAGATTATCGCAGTCACTAACCTGTGTTTCTCTCCAATAGACATTCCTGCTTCTGACACCCGAGTTGCTGTAGCTGCTGCCACTGTGAAATCTCAGTGCTTTTTAAGTAATCCTCTCTCGGTCTTGCCTGAATTTTGGGTCCTACCTTCTAAATCGTTACAATTTTTGTGGATTGCAATAAAGATTTCAAGAGACTTTGAAATCTTTATTAATGTTCTGAGTGTTATTTGAGTCCAGATTCTGCTAAGTGAGCCAATACAGTGTCACCATAATCAAAAATCAATTCACTATCATTAGCAACAAATGACTGCTCCGTTAGATGAAGTAATGCTCCATAAATAAAACATTCATATCCGCTTATCTGACCTTCATTTAGGTTAAAATGACAAAAGCTAATAGTGTGCTGTAGATGGCACTTCTTGTGAGTGACGCTTTTATACAGAAGTTTTGAATGGATCAAAGATTAACATTTGAGTATTGCTGGATTATCAGAGGTTTGATAACATTTTAAGTTTTCCTGTAACCCTAATCAGGTAAGGTAAAGCATATATGCCAGGCCATGTTCCAAACATGTACATATATTAATGTTCAGATTATTTCTCATTACCTTTTAATATAGTCACTTTACAGCAGCTATATCTTGGTATAATTTCCCTAACCAACAGACAAACTTCCCCTGTGCAGAACAATTGGAGGACAGGTAGTGATGGGGGGAAAAACACAACTGTTGACAATCTTAATATCACCTAATTCTCTTTATTTATGTGGAATCTCAGAATGAACAGAATCTCGCCCACGGAAGCAAAAACCCCTATCATGGTGCACACACACTGGATGTAAATGAATATTACCAGTTTGCTGTGTGGGTAGTCACCGTAAAATGTTTGCATTGTATATTTCTGACTGTTGTATTCAGACTTGCAATCACCACGACAACCTTTCCTGAAAAAAAGTATTGCTCCTGTTCTTTTGTGTGAAATACCTTTTGATAGAAATGTATAAAAACACATTCATAGCTCTGGCCTGTTTTGATGGGAATATGATAACGTTTGCTCCAAACATACACTAAGAAATGGCTTTTTGGTAAATGCAACCTGGCTCTTTGCCTATGAACACAAAGCTTAAAGGCTTGGAGTAGAAATATGTTCCTCCACTACGCTATTTTGTTGCTTCTAATGAATATGCAAAAGAGGTCGTTCAGTTAAATCAGGAGCACAGAGCTGTCAAGTAGAGGAGATTGTTGCTAGAGGGGCCTCACTAAAATTACAATTAAGCTGTCACAGCCAGAGTCAAGAACACCCTCTTCAAGCTATTCTCTCATTAATTGGGATTTGGGGAGTACCTGGGTCTCCTTGGCAGCGAGGTTCAAGTGGTTGTTAGTGAATGACAGAATAACTACTTGAGTCCTTCCATCTCCCAGGCCCAAAGATGGAATTGTTACGAAACGTGATCAACAGCCTCTCAGGGGTCACAAAACAGAGCTTCAGCACCTTCAGGAGTGTGTACTCTAGTTCTGGCTTTTTGTAACGTTGCTCACAAATATGTTTTAAAAACTGACTGAAGTGGCTCTTCAGTAAGAGACAGTTATCTCAGTCTAAAAGCAACTCACACAGAGCCTCATGTAATCTATGGTCAGGCTGTGTTTGAGTGGCTCTGGGAGCGGATGTCTTCAAAGAGCATAAAATATAAACCTCTCTTTGAATTACCTACAATGTTGTAAGTACAGATATAATCTCTCTGCACCTAAAAATAAGATATGACAGCCTAAATAAAAAAGTTTATATAAAGGTGTTTGTCCTAAACAATTTAAGCCCATCATTAGAGATAACTTGCATGGAGTGATTTTATCTGATTTAATTTTAGAGGTTTATAATAAGGGTGATGTTTGTTCAGCAACCCAATAGCTTTTTCAAGCCTTTCCGCTGTAAGACGTGAACAATCATGGGCAAAGGCAACATCACAACATGTGAGAGAAAGCTGCCTTAGAATCTTAAAATAACAACTGTACTCAATATGAAAATGAATCTTCTTATATCTTCAAAACATCTCTAGGTTCTCAGTTTGAAGCTGTGAAGTTGCTGTGCTCTGTTCAGGCTTCCTGTTATCTGCCTTCTATCTTGCTCTCTCTCACAGTCTGAATGAGTAGCTGTAAATATTTATCCCTTAAATAGCTTTTACATCAGTATTTTATGGTGGCCGATATGCACAAATGCAAAAATGTGTGATGCAAACACTAGAACACAGGTAAAGGAAAGCTCTGTTTACATCTATAAACTATCTCTACTATATTCTTTCCTGAGAAGAGATCACTCGGAACAAGCACTTCAAATAAAAATTATAAGGTTTATTTATTAAAGACTAGAAAACATCTTTTACAGAATAGTAATTTTACCTAAACCAGAGTGTTCGCACGGATATAATAGTATCATTGGGTTCACGTTGAGTCAGCAGCCCCGAATAATGGTTAAAGAAGCATTTTATACAACTCCAGTATCACACCCATGCTGCATTATCGCATTGTTACATTAAACACTTTTTTGTACATCGGGAGACCTCTGGCTCCAGTCATATCAAGATATTTCTTAGTGTTATTAGATCAAGGACACTCTGAATGCACAGTAAAAGAGCTCTCTGTTAAAAATATCCACTCCATCTGTATGCCCCGTTCCATTCCTAAATTTTTGTGCATATTGAAGATAATTTTGTTTTATCGTGACAGAAAACTTTCCTAATTAGACAAACGGCTTGGGAAAACATTAGTCTTGACACATACAGTAATAGGCAGGTAATATAGTGTGTAACAAGCCCACACATAAATGATTAAAATAATCCTAACACACGGAAGGAACAATTGCAAATGACAAACGTTGCAACCAAAAAAATGAATGAGCTGTAAATAGTTGGAACGCACAGGAATGATGAAATGAGTTGCAAACACATGTACGATGCAAACACCAAAATATGCAAACACAAAAAACAATGCAACAGAAAAATGCTGCAAACAAACAACAACAAAAAAATGGTGCAATCACCTGGTTCTGCTGGAGGTTTCATCCTGTTAAAAGGGAGTTTTTCCTCTCCACTGTCGCTACAAGCATGCTTAGTGTGGGATTGCCTTCAAGTCAACGAGTCGATGCGATCAACTGGTTTTCCTTAGATAGAAAACTTTAAATCAATTTGACTTTATGATCTGATGAACTGTAAAGTATCTTTAGGTCACATGTGTTGTAAATTGGCGCTATATAAATAACCTGAAATGAAATAAACATAGAAGTAAAAAAAAAACTAAAATCGACAAAACAAATGCAAACAAAAATACTGTAACCACAGAAATAATATGGTTGGTTCTTCCTTCAGTAGTTCCATTTCCTTTTGAGCGAGTTTGCTACTGTTTTTATTATTTTCACCTTTTTCTTTCTGTGATTGAATCATTTTGTTTTAGCTTGCAACATTTCGTTTCTAGGTTAAGGATTTTTTGATTGCGGTTGTTTTGTTGATTGTAAATTTTTGCTTCTAACTTTTCGTGATTGGAGCATTTTTTTACAGCATTTTTCAGTTGCTTTTTTGTTTTTGTGAGTTCGCACATGGTTATACAGCTGGTTTGCTGCACTTTTTCACTTGCTGGCCACCATAGAGTTTCCTCTGATTTCATTTTAGATATTTAAAAATAGGGATCTACAACTCTTCTTCACTAAGCAAACTTTCATAAAGAGTGTTGCTACTGGAAACACAGCTCTAAGGAATTGTACTATCACTAATTAAAGAAAGATAGAATATTGAACTTCCAGATACATTTCCTGGTTAAGCTTCAATGACTCTCTACTCCTCGCTACACACTTCATGTGTTGGTTTAGTGTTTAAGCACATCTTGTAATCTCTGCAGGTGGATCTGGAGAAGAAAACATCAAATAAACCAAGGTTACCCTGTGGACCAAGCTTATGCTCAAAATCTCATCAAAGTCTAGATAAATCTATTTATATTCAAGCACTGTAACCACACAGACCAAAGAGCACAGTTTTATATTCAGGGGAAAAGGACCAGTTGAAGACAGAAGATTTCTGTTTCTGGCAAGATGCACACATGCAAAGACAACAGTTACAAAAGCCAGGGCTGAGGAAGGTTACTACTATTCAGTCTGTATTAAAGCAGATCATCTGCCTTAAAGTCATTTAGATTAGCTCGCAGCGATAGCAGTTAATGAGATTAAAGCGCTGTGAAAAAGCGTAGAGTAGCCATCTGAAGTGGGTGGATGAAACTGGGGGCTTGTCGTATGGCCTCTGAATGAC